AGGGAGCCATCAGGTGAAGGGGTGGTTGGAAAGTCACAGTGGGAGGCCCCTCAGGCTTCTGCCTGGCTATTCTGTTTTAATAAGCAATGCATCTTCAAACCAACTCCACCAATCAAGCCTGGCCTAAGAATTTAGACAAAGCCTCAGCCCATTGGTTCTCAATTGTGGTGACTTTACTTGCCAGCGGACATTTGGTCATGTCAGGACATTTTTTCTGTCACAAGGGGTGGGGCATCTGGCATCTAGTGGGTAGAAGCCAGGGATACTGGGATACTGCCCAATAGCCCTTGTCACACAGAACAGCACTCCCCACACCACAGCCGAGAATCAGCAGACCTGAAGTGTCAGTGGTGCTGAGGTCTGGCCTACTGCCTTTCCAAACGCTGAGAAACGGAGGCCCCGAGGGGTATTGTGAGTCCCTCCAAACCATGCTGCAGACAAGCTGGAGAAGGAAAGCCGCTCTGTCCCCCTCCAGTGTGATGCCTTTTAAGTTACACAGATGTTCCATTGAAGTAAATAAATATACATCCTCAAACAGTTGCAAACAAGTTCCCTGATCTAAGCTCATCCAAGTGCTTTTAGGATGTTTCCTAGGCTTAGAGATGAACTGTTTCCAAGATGTCTCAGAAAACAGTGCCAAGGAGGTAAGATTGAGCAGATCTCTTAAAGGCATTCTCTCCCTCACGAGAGGTGAGCCAGCAGCCAGGGCCTGCACGTCTCTGCACCATGGCTTCCTCCGGGGCCCTCTTTTAGCTCTGTGGTAAGCCAAGGCACTCAGACTGCACGAGACATCAAGAGAGCAATCACCCTGCCCAGGCCCTCAGCCTTATCACAGAGGAGGGACTTACCAAAAAGAAACATTGGTTCAGAAAAAATTTCCAAACTCCAGTTATGTTCACGGGTAGAATTTCTCTCAGACTACAGCTCTCCAGGCTCAGGGTGCTTTTAAATCATCGCAGGGCTTTGGTTCTCTTTCTTTTTAGGAACCACAAAAAGATAGTGGGAAGGAAGTGAACCACTCCTGTATGGCCAGCCATTTTCTAATGACAGCTGGGGAGGAGGAGACTCCTAAAACCCTCAAGACTGCTTTATATATCCTGACTGGTTCCTACGGCAGGAGTGAGGGAGGCTTTACCCAAGGAGGGAGTGACACTCCCTTCTGACACAGACTGATAAGGATGGGAATACACTGCTAGATTCTTTACCCACCCTTCTCCAGGAGTAGGCTCACGCACAGAGACAGCGCTTCCCGAGATTCTTTGCCCTCTCACCAGTAACATAGGATCTCTGCTCTCCTGCAGCCCTGGCAAGGCCTAGGAGCAATAAACGCCCAGGTGTAGGCAGGAGTTAGGTGTCAGACTGAGAAGAAACCGCGGATGAGAAAAGACCCAATGTACACACATAACAAAACCAAAAAAGCCATTTTATTGAAAATTAAATTCAAACTTCAAATTAATATTACAATCATGAGAAAAATGCCAAATAATTCAATTTACAGTTGCAACATACAATACAAATCATCCCTTTGAAGTTCAGAGTAAACTCATCCACAATCATGATCTGTGGCACAAAGCAGAATTTGTACAATATGTGCATGGAAAGCAAATCTTCGGCAACAGCAATTGGAAAAAATAAAAATGAAAAGCTTGTATTTACACAAAATGCTACAAAGTTTTGTTCCACAGAAATCTAAGAATGGTAAAGCATATCCCAAAAACTGGAAATTTATTTCAGAGTACCTAAGAAGTTACTGTAAGTTACGGTTTTGGCTGCTCTATTTCAAAAGTACTGCATTCAAAAAGCAAACAGTTATTTGTAAACATGAAGTAAACAAACATCTAAAAAAATTCTCACATAGAAAGTATTTTTTTAAATGCATTATCTTTTTAAGAACAACAAATTTAAGGTTTGGAAGAGTTGTCTTTTATTGATTTATTCCTATTCTTTCAAATAGCACTGATAGAATTGTCTTTGCTAATGCTTTGTGTTTTCATGTATTAACCTAGACTCTGAGTCAGTCCCTTTCTGGGGAATGGAGGAACTTTCTAAGCCAGCCTGCACATCTAAGCCAGCCCACAATGGATGGCCCCTGGTGGTGTGGGTTTCTGAAGGTGGGCTAAGACAGCCGAACAAGCAAATGAGAGCAAGTTTGCTCACTCTCAGTTCAAGGCTGGATGTTACTGCACTAACCTAACCTGGTACCTGTTCTAGAACTCTGACAAGGCTAGTTTTTGTGCGACAACTGAAACAGATGTGGAAAGTGGCTGCGCTGGTCACGCTGTAAACTCTAACAATGTTTATGCTGCATAAGAACCATGTGGTGTGAACCTGAAGGAAACAGAATGTTGGTTAGTACATGGTTCCATAGCAGTAGTAAGGCTTTGCTTTGGTCTTGAAATCATAAGTTATATATATATGACCCAATGCAAATTAGGGATTCAGTTGGGGGAGGGGGGAAGAGAGAGAGAGAAAGAGGGAGAAGTAAAAGAAAAATTTAGCCCTCAAAGCAAAGAGGGCAGAATTTGATCTAAGAAATGTGAATTGCCCCATTGGGGTGGTTGGAATGAGGGTGGAAGGAAGAAGTGCTTGAATTTTTCCCAAGAAAAAAAAAAAAAAAAAAACTTTTAAAGTGTTTCTGGGTTGCTGCCTGCAGCCACTATAATAACATTTCAACACAAAAGCATCCCTAAAGTCACTTAGTATGTGTACTGTAAACTTAGAAAGCCCTTTTAACGTTAAAAAATAATGTACAAACATAGTACCTTTTTTATTAAATAGGGTACAGCTGGCACTGGCGATAACATTTTTATGTCAATTAATTAAAATTGAAATGTGTAACCAGACACTGGCTTTTTTAAGTGCTGCTGAAACACAAACACATAGTTTACACTTACAAATAAATGGACAGTGGCGTGCTTCAAGCTACCACACACAAACAATAAATAGTATCAATTACTACTTCCATCTTAAGTAATAGAAAAGTGGCTTATTTATCTAAGCATACTTGGTATACAACCTTTAAAAGGCGAAGTGTTTTTGTTTTGTTTTGTTTTGCTTCCCCTCGATTTTTGCTAGGAGGAGTCGGGATGAACTACAAGGGCGACACCCAGGCAAAAGGGGGGCCCCACTGTCCCACAAGGGGTGCTGTGATGCACACTGGCCTGTGGGGGTGAGAGGAGCTAGAGAAGCGAGGGCCCTCAGGGGCTGGAGCAAATCTCTACAGGGCTGGAGGCAAATCTCTACAGAGTTCTGCTGAGGGAGGCCCAGGATTCAAACGAAGGGGCCCTGAGCTCAGGGAGAGGAGGGCTGGGACCTGCCAGGTGGTGTCAAACAATGTTCCTGGCTCAGATTAAGTTTTCCACTTGCGAATTTGCCATGTGGCCTCCAGGAGCGGTCAAAGTGCATCCTACAGGAGAGTTTGAGCTCAAATTCATACACAGTAGTCAACACCAAACTCCACGTAGCCTCGCCATCCCGCCACCCTCCACTGAGAGAAATACAAACAGAGGTTGTCCGATGGGTGCCCCTGGGCTCCAGCTCTCTCAGATCAGCCATCTGCTGGAACTTGCCTGCTACTTCAATAGACTCCCATAAAACAATGACTTAAATCTGCTTCTTTAAATGCAAATTCTGTGGAGAGTGGCCAGTGGAGCCTTAGGTAAGGCAGATGTGGGTTCCCTTGACTTATGTTTTGGTAAGGCAGGTGCAATTTTGCTTTCCTGTACGATGTGGATCAAGATTGACCCGTTAGCCACATGTGTGGCTTTAAGCTGATGATGACTTCATTAGGAAGCCTGACGATTTAAGAGTTTACTTTAACTATGAAACCACAGCATGTATTTCTGCAGTTCAATGATTCACTTGTGCTTGTCTTTTTAATATGACGAGAGTCATTATTTGACAGAAATTAGGAAACCACATTACTCCAGCATCTCATGCTGTTCAGGGCAACCTAAGTGATAAAGGGCTGAGAGTTGCTTTTTAAATCCCTAGTTATTGCTTGAAAAGGCAAAGCTGTGTTAGAGGCAATCAAAGAACTAAACATAACATTTCCTTCATACATCACAAAAACAAACTACATCTAAAAATATTTGGAGATGGAAGTATTTTGAAAAATCACATTGTGCCTGGATGAACTGAAATTGCTTAGCAATATTTCAGATATGGCTCTAGCCCACTGAAGAAATTTGTTACTTAATAAAGAGCACTTTTAGAGACCGAAGTCAACATATCAATACACTAAGAAATGTTTCAAGGGTCCAAATGTCATTAAATAATTATAAATATATCTTTAAAGTTATATGACCATTCACGTTAGCAAGTTACCTCAGATTTTACACATATTCATAATTTAAAAAAAAAAGAAAACAAATAACACACAGCCAAACAAAAACACTATCTATACCATTATGGCTACAATAAGGTATTGCCATTTTCAGTTTTGCATTAAAGGAGAAAGGGGATTTTCAGGATGGGACTTTGTTTTGCTTAAATGGGAAAGGGGGTAGGGAGTATACAAAAGAAAAATAAAATAATCTATCCTGATCAGTTATTTTTGAAGTCACTTTCTTGATGGAGGGGAAAAAATAAACTGAACCTAAGAGCTCAAATGAGTACCTGCAGCGAGTCTGAAAGCAGAACTCGGGGCAGTTATTCTGAACGGATCAGACTGTGATGAAAGCACCCATTTTGCCTCTTTTCCCTTTCCGTGAGCCTGGCCCTGTGAGCCAGCATGCAGTGTGCACTGCTCCATACACAGCTGCAGCCATGAGGGTGTGTGGTTTCAAAGCACAGAGAGGAAGCGGCTTTGCTCTTCTTCCTCCTGAACCTGGAGTCCACCTCTCTGAATTGGCATATGAACAGGTTATTTATGGTAACAGACCAAACAACAACAGCAACAAAAATAGCTTTTTCCTTTTTTTATGAAAGTACATTTTAAACAGAAAACAATCTGAAATCTGATTAGAGGATTGTCTCTCCTGGGCCTTTCTTTTCTTTCTCAGTATCTACCCTCTTATGGTTGCAAGATCATGACTGAGTGAGTGAATGAAAAAAAAAAAAGGCACTTTGTAGATAGCTGATCAATATACATATATATGCACCCTCTCTATATATATGTATATACTGATACATCTGGGGTGTGGTTCCCAGATACCGCTGGGCCACTGCTGAGGAATTTCAATATGGTCGCCAAACAGATTCATCCATTCTGCCACTAGAATTCAAAACAGTTGGGGAACTGCTGTGGCTTCCATCAGCGTCAACACCATCATTCTGGTTAGGCAAATTTGGATTTAATAGCGTGCTGCCATTCGAGGTGGTGGTGCATGGCGGAAGCATTCTGGAAGGAGACCGGTCTCCCCCCGGCACCATGGGGAACTGATAGGATCCTGACGAAGTGCCATAGTAGAGATATGGAGTGCTGCTGGTCTGGAAGGGTCCACTCTGGCTTTGGGAAGAGCCGGGGTAGGGTGGTGGCAGGTAGGTGTGGTAGTGAGTGGTGGCGGACATACCGAGGGACATGCCTGAGGTGACTGGCGGGGTGTAAGTAAAGGTGGCTGGATAGTGCATTCGTGGGTTGGAGAAGCGGCTCTCAGTGAGGGATGAAATGCTTGGGAACTGCCTGGGGTCTGAAAAAGGGCCCAGTTCTGAAGCACCTAAAAATTGTAACAAAAGATGGGGGGGAAAATCTGTAAATATCAATTAAAATAATGATAGAATTTTACAAGAAAAAAAGAAAACTTTAGCTTCCCAAAAAAGGAACAGCAAGCCACAAACAGACCTTCAAATGCACCGGTCACTATACAGTTTTGTTGTTTCTTTCTTTTTCATTTTTTTTTTTCACTTTACAGTTAGCGGCATTTACTTAAGTTCTTCACCCCCAGAGAAACCCCAAAGGGCCTTAAAATCTCAGACGTGTGCTAGGTCATATGTATAAACCAACCCAACACTCTGATCCTCTGATCATACAGATTCACTCACCAGACTTTAAGACTGAATCCTCATTGACTTTTTTTTCCTCATTTAAAGGTGACACCTCAGACATTTAAAGGTGACATTTTTTACTAAGTTGGACAAAATTCTTTTTCTCAACCCAATATAAAAAAATGACAAATGTTCAGTTTTATTACTGATGTTCTTGGCAGGGGACCCTTCATCAATGAAGGAACATCAAAAAGATGCCCTAACATCTTCCTATCCCTCTTTCAATTCTTAACGTAATTTAAAATCATGTTATAGTCTTCACCTTAGTGATGCATTTCAGAAAAATCAAACCATATTTCACTGTATGGTGAAACTATCTTATCTGGGGGTAGATCGGGAGACAGTAGCCCTCTGAAATCCACCTCAGAGTCATACACTAAATAAGTAGGTTTTTGAAGGGGTGAGGGTTAGGAGACTTAGTACCTAGAAATTAGTGTGTCTTAACTCTGGTTGGGAGACTCAGGGCCTGATTTAGGCCAGGTGTGAAGAGTGGCTGTGTGAAAGTCTGGTTGCCTGGGGAGATAGCAGAGAAAACCTCAGTCCCCATTTAGTGGGCCGGGAACCACATCCTGCAGAATTCACTTCAGGCCATTCTGTACAGGTCACGTAGAGGCAAAGAGGGTTCTCCCCTAAAATGTAAAGGCCTGGAACTTCTAAAGTGAACTCTATACACCTCCCTCCTTATAATAGCTATTTCCAGTACTTAGCTTATCAAACCACAGTCATAAATTAATTTATGTGGAAATTAGTTTTCAGAAATGCCTGAAAACTTGCAGTTGTGGTCTTTATAGACTGGGTTATGATTCTCTAACACTGACAGAACTGGGACAAAAATTTTTATAAGATCAGTGTTTCTGTTAAAGGTTTTGATCACATCTTCCAACTCTGGGTCTCACTAGCTTTTTCCATAGCCTTTGTCGATAAGGGAAAACACTTAGTAATTCTTAAAGGCTTAAGTGAGTACGTACTTCTTTGGTCCCTTTTTCAATTTAGCCATTGTTCTTAGCCACTACAACATTTATTAAAGGGAAATCCTAATTCCTCATGGTGCTAATCGAAATCGGCTACTATTTGTTAAAATATACTCTGCCTAATCTGCATAAAATGCTAGGAGACAGAAACCTGGTGTGAATTTGTAGTTTGTTTTTTTTTTTTTAAAGAAAAAAAACCTGACTACTTAAAAGTAACATTGAATTAACAAAAGTTTTTCTCACAAATTGGACAGTTTCCATCAGACAGCCCCACCCAACCCAGCCCAGCAATTGGTAAAAGTCTCACCTGCCTGGCTCTTCTTACTGAGAGTGGAAGGCCAGAGGCAGAAGTCAGAGGTGGCAGTGTCATCATCTGTAAAATGAGGGGATGAGCTCTAAGTTCCCTTCCAGCTCTAATGTGCTGTCACCATGAATTCCAAGATAGGAGGAGAAGCAGCAGTCTTAGGGGAAGGGGAAGCAGAGAAGTTCCCACCCCTCAACAGCTCTTTCCCGGAATCCACAGGCCCATAAGCGGAGGGTTAGAAGCTAGTGAGCAGCTTCTAATACCAGAAGCAAACACTTTCAAGATGACAAACCAAAACTAACACAGCCCAGGCAGTTGTTCTCTGCTTTTTTTTTTTTTTTTCTTTTTTTTTTGATAAATTCTTCCCTCCTCAACTGGCCTCTACCTAACCCCTCCCAAATACGAAATTCTGACAAACTTAAGTTTAAAACTGTAGAAGTAGTGATTATGACAGAATCGCAAATGGGAGCAGATGAGATTTACCGTCCGCCCTGTTGCATGCTTAAGGGCTGCCTACAGGATACAGGCCCTACATGGAGGCCACAGATGTTTCCCGGCCAGCCTGCTCGCTGCAAAGCATCTAGGTGAACTTGACTTGGCAGAGCTAATAGCTATAGGCAGGCCACTTCTGTATGTATTAAGTTCAACGCTCAGATCATGTGAGAGAAACCAGAATAACATGAGCAATTTCAAACAGAAAGAAGTCACACTTAAAACATCAACGTCTGACCCGCACAGAAGCACAGAGCTCATACAGATAGGCTTGTCATTGTAAAAAGTGCTTCTCATGGGTATTTGTATTTAAAACATACTGTAGCCATAATTAAAACTCCATGTGGTTTCCCTTATTTTGATGCAGAAGCCTCATTAAAACCCTTTATATGGGCCCCGCTAGTAAACTGCAATCTGGTTTTGAACTTCTCCCTAAACGTCTTCCCCTCCCCCAACTTTCTCTATTTTACCTGATACATTATGCTGATGTCTTTATTACTCATTGCCAGGGTCACTGTACCTTTTGGTTTATAGATGCCAGCTAATGCAAATTGACATTCATTTTTCAATGAATGAGCTCTGGCTGTGGTTTATAGCAATGCAACAGATTTCTGTGAGGTTTACAGAATTTTGACCAATCACTTCTTGTCATCTGAGACTGTAAAGTCTTGAGGATTAATTCCTTCTGGGCAAAAAGAACCAAAGCAGACCTTAAAGGGATTATATGGTAATTTTTATAACTTACAAAAAATAGAATTTTCTGGAATTTGCTTATTCATTTTTGGGTTACCAAAAAATGTTCCTGTAATATCCAGCAAAAATTTCTGTATGAGGGAATATGAAAAACTTACTACAGTGTCACATGAAATCCCATGTATAATGGGGAAATGGAAGGAAAACAAATTAGCCACCACCATCCCCCTTTTTCCTAGTCTGCTATTTATTTGTGATAATTATTGCAGAAGCAAATAAAATGATTAAATTTTATTTCATTAAGTATGTATCTACACCTCTAATACCTGCTTTGTGTGTGAACACAGGTTTTTTTAGACAAACTTCTTGGTTTGTTTTGACATTGTGTCCTGCACACCATTCATACCTTTATCACCAACCACATTACAATGGCAAAGCTAAAAAAAAAAAAAAAAGACTAGAACTTATATCAACTAATCAAAATGTTATATCTACTTACTAAAAAGATCAAGATGAAAGTGTTCCAGAAGTACCTCAGTTTAATTTCATACATGTAAAGCCAAAGCTCCATGACTACCCTAGAGAGCTTCCTTATAGCCTCAGAGCTCCAGAGAGCTTCTTTATATCCTCAGAGCTCCCTCCAGAGAGCTTC